GGGGGGGGGGGGGGGGCTTCGCCCCCCCACATCCCCGGGCATTCATGACAAAAAATAGTATGTGCCACTCGGCCCGTAGTGTCGGTTTGCGATTCGTGTGAGTTAGCAGCACTCATCGCAAACCTCCACTTACGGGCCTTGTGACACAAATAACTATTTCGACTTGCGACTTACGACATCAAATTGAAACTTTCAAAAATCTTAAATCGAGTTTTGAAAATCTGAACTTGAGATTTTTCAGTCTTAATTTAAGACTTGAAAATCTCGATTCGGGACTTGATAATCTCAATTTAAACCCTTTGAAAGTCTTAAGTTGAGACTTTTGTACGTTTCAAATTGTGATTTGAAAGTCTCAAGTTAAGACTTTCGGAACGCTAAAATGAACAATTCCATTTTAACGCTATTTGATCCTGCAATCAATAATTTCCCAAAATATTCAAGTAAGGCGCTAGAGAAAGGTAGACTGGTATTTTGCCGAGGATGACCAGCCAGGCAACTCTTTCGCTACTCGGACATTGACTTCAATAATTATAATAATCATCAATAATTTGTACTTCAGCTGTTTAGAAGTGATTATTCTCAAGTCCCCCAGCATCAGCTGCCATTCTCTATAACGCGGAGTTATGTTTAGAGAGAAAAGGGAATGCGGGCTATACTAATTCAAAACATTAAACTCGTATAAATTGATTAGGGGAGAGTAGAGCAAAATGGTCCAGGTGGGCAAAACGGACCTCTACGGCTAAATGGACCCTTGACGTAAAAGTAATAATTTTTATTGAAAAAATTCATCGGATTTGCACACCCCCGTTTACATTGAGGTATTACAAAGAATGAATTTGGGGAAAAGAGTATGGGCCAAATTGTGAAAGTAGGATTCACAACAGTCATGCTTCCCGAGGTTCAAATGTTGCAATGGTTATCTCCATTATCAGGTCACTTGATCCGTTTGTAGATCAATTGTTTTGATGAAGGATCTGAATCATTAAGGATGTATTACACCCTTTTCGCCAAAATTCACGTTTTTTGCTTTTTTCTGGCAAATTGTTGATTGGATTGACGTGAAAAAATATACCGTTTTTGCATTTTATCATTACTTAATGACTCACGAAATTTCATGATCGTGCAATCATTTTCCTGCGTTTTTTCTAAAACTTTTCGGAAATTCACAAAACTTTAGAAAAAATGCAGGAAAATGATTGCACTACTATGAAACTTCGTGAGTCAGTCAATAATGATAAAACGCAAAAATATTATTTCGCGTCAATCTGATCAATAATTTGCCAGAAAAATGAAAAAAAAACGTGAATTTTGGCAAAAAGGGTGTAGTACATCCTTAAACGTTAGTGTTATGCCTCAAAAGTTGAATGCACACCCATACAAGAAGATTTATCAAAAGTTGAATGACCCTGTCGGTCAAATGGAAGAGTTTAACAGTAAGGGAGACACTTGAAGGAACCCGATATTCTTTTACCTCAAAATTTCATTTATTTAGGACGAGAAGTCATGGAAACTCGCCTTTCTGATCATCAAAAATCTTCTGTGGGTTAGTAGGATGCTGTGAAGAGAATTTTTTTTAAATTAATTAATAACGAGAGATTGCAGTGATGATTTACCGTCGTCCGCTTAAGGTACATGTCTCCCTGACTACTTATCCCCAATAAATGAAATCTTGCGATGGAAAAAAAATGTCGAATTCCTTCCAGTGTCTCTCTTGCTGCCAAACTCTTCCATTTCACGTCAGGGGTCCGTTTTGCTCTACGGTTCGTTTTAAAAATGAATATTCCATAGAATTCGGGCGCAACGAACATATCTTATTTCACATCACTGATCCTTATTTTTCTCCTCTCTATAAGCGCACGTAGTGGGGATATACGGATTTCCGGAATTCCGCTCTCCTACTGTCCCTAAGGTATCTTATATAAAGCCTTGACTGTACTCGTATTTGATTTTCTCCGTGTACGATAAGTTTTGGGACACCCTGTATATGAACGCATATCTATCTTCTTTCAAATTCACGTATCATCAAATTCCGGTCATGATACAGAGAACGACTCTTAGAAATACTGATAAAATCCCATGGTGACAGGGGCATGTCTCCATTATTTATCACACGTGAGAGGGAACATGTGCACGGGGGATTTTTATTACTACGAAATATCCAACGCCATGGGTTTCAATAATGCTTTCTGTTTTATTAGAACCGTGTGAATGCAACTGACATTCATTGTTATCGCTGCACGGTATCTTCTGCGGATTTTAATAATACAGAGATCGATGCGTATTAAAAATTTATATAGGTCCTTTTTTTAAGCCCAAATGAAACTGTCCGGGTTGTCATAAACTCGGATTAATTTATGCCTAAGTACTTTCGACTAGTACATAATTATTATTTTAAGAATATTGATAGTTCGTATTTTTGTAATGTGCATAACAATTTTCAACTATCATCGATTGATTTATAGATCATAACCCATTTGTACCATTGTACCAATCATAATGTATTTATTCATAATTATTTCAAGAGTTTACGATCGTTCGAATGAAATCGGATAACGTGCACCCCGAAAAAGGATTTATTTTAAGCAAATAAAGCAGGGACTGGAAACGCGTTTCCGTTTTCGTTTCGTTTCCGAGGTCAGAAACGTTATTGCGGGAAACGAAACTGGAAGCGAAAGTCGAATAACGTTATTGCCGGAAACAAAACTGGAAACGAAAGTCGAATAACCTTATTGGCGGAAACGAAACTGGAAACGAAAGTCGAATAACGTTACCACCGGAAACAAAACTGGAAACAAAAGTCGAATAACGTTATTGCCAGAACCGAAACTGGAAACAAAAGTCAAATAACATTACTGCGAGAAACGAAACTGGAAACGAAAGTCAAATAACGTTATTGCAGGAAACGAAACTGGAAACGAAAGTTCAATCACATGAAAACAAGTGGGAAATTGCTCTTGTATTGCATACAGTATAGTCATTTTTGCTAATAAATTAGCAATATGTTTCCGAATGGTTATTTTGCACATAATTTGCTTGTATCCAATATAATTCATTGTTCAGAAGATATTTTTGTCACAATCTTTT